TAGATTCGTGAACGTTCAGTGTCCTTGTCAGTGGTGGCTGGTGGCACTTTAAATCGAAGGACGGGCTCATAGTAACAGCTGGAATGGAATAAATTGAACTGTATCAAACACATTGATTCCATTCCAGACATTATTATGTGCCCGTCCTCCCCTCACCAGCCTCTTCTAGTATGTGAACTTTCAGTGTCTGTTTTTTATTTTTCTATATCTTTTGTTTCTGTGTGTTTCTTTGCGCTGGTCTGTCTGTGTGCATGAGTGTGTGTCTGTGTCTGTGTTTGTGTGTGTGTGTGTGTGGGTGTCTGTGTGTGTTGCTATAGTGGAGAGGTGGGAAAGTGAGGAGGTAGCTGCGTGGCTGGACTCTCTGGGGTTAGGGGAGTACAGAGATAATTTTCTCTCCAGGGACATCCAGGGCTGCCAGCTCTCACAGCTGCAGCGGCACAACCTCAAGGTACAGGAGGACCATAGGAAACTGGGCTCCCATTTTGGGTATAGGACTAGGCAGCCATTTTGGGTCTAAGGCGCAGTGTTATTTCCTGTTACACTGGAACTGTGCATGGCCTTCTTGAGTGTGTGATTTTGTAATCAATTTAAGTGACATTTATGCCTTATGAATGTAAGGTATACCGTTTTATAGTGAACAAAAATATGAATGCAACATGTAAAGTGTTGGTCCCATGTTTCATGAGCTGAAATAAAAGATCCCAGAAATGTTCCATACACACAAAAATCTTATTTCTCTCAAATGTTGTGCACAAATTCGTTTACATCCCTGTTAGTGAGCATTTCTCCTTTGCCAAGTAATTCAATTATCTGGCAACATAATCTACCTGCCAGGTGTGGCATATCAAGAAGCTGATTAAACAGCATGATCATTACACATGTGCACCTTGTGCTGGGGACATTAAAATGGCACTCTAAAATGTGCAGTTTTGTCACACAACACAATGCCACAGTCTCAAGTTTTGAGGGAACGTGCAATTGGCATGCCGACTGCAGGAATGTCCACCAGAGCTGTTGCCAGATAATTGAATGTTCATTTCTCTACCATAAGCCGCATCCAACATCGTTTTAGAGTATTTGGCAGTATGTACAACCGGCCCCTCACAACCACAGACCACGTGTAACCACGTCAGCCCAGGACTTCCACATCCGGCTTCTTCACCTGCAGGATCTTCTGAGACCAGCCACCCGGACAGCTAATGAAACTGAGGAGCATTTCTGTCTGTAATAAAGCCCTTTTGTGGGGAAAAACATATTCTGATTGGCTGGGCCTTGCTCCCAGTCATGTGAAATCCATAGATTAGGTCCTAATGAATTTATTTAAATTGACTGATTTCCTTATATGAACTGTAACTCATTAAAATAGTTGAAATTGTTGCATGTTGCGTTTATATTTTTGTTCAATATATATCGATTACTTTTCTATCAATTACTTGCTTACTCGTTGTAGAAAGATGATATCCGCATTCCCCACTTCGGAAGTATCAGAATCAACCAATAGGAAGCTCTCTACGCAAATATCTCACGTTCATTTTAACTTGGAGTTCCTGAGTTTCCGACGTGATGTGAACGCAGGAAAGAGGCGTCATGCCCAACTTAAGGACAGGGGCTTAGCCCCCCTTCCGGACCACCCCCAGCCATCCTCACGTACTTTGTGCCACCTCAGATTTTTAGGGTACATGATGCCCCTGAACGCGGCACAAGTTACCTAAGTTGATATAAAGTTGATGAAAACAAACGATTTTGCAAAACAGTGAAACATTCATTAAACATTGTGTAAAAAGGAGACACTTTGATTGTCTGTCTGTCTCTCTCTCTCTCCCACAGGATCTTGGGATATTAAAGGTGGGGCATGTGAGACGGATCCTTCAGGCAATTGAGGAACTTAACGAGGAGGCTTAACCAGAAACCTGTCACTATGGCAACCAGAGAGGGGGGAATAAATGATTCAATGATTCAATGACCCTCTCCCCATTCAGCTATCACCTCCCCCTTGACTCTCAATGTTCTCCATTTTGTAATCAGGGAGGAGCTGTTTTTAATGAGGGGGCGTGGCTTAGCATTTGCATCACTGTTTGGTGTTCTGTTATTGGTGCTGTTTGACCTGCTGACCAGGGAGGTGGGCGTGGCTTCTTGATAGGCAAATGGCCAATCAGAGAAGAGGAAAGGAGAGAGTTTCTTAGCAACTTTTGTTTCCTTGACGACGCAATGTGTTTACGTAGGCGGCGCTGTCCTTTGCATGACGGGAGCGGACATTTTGTTTTTATTATAATTCTTAGATAACTCCTCTTTTTGGGGTTTAGGCTACCCTTCTTTTCTCTCTTTCTTTTTCTTTCTTGACTTTCGGCGCAACTTAAAGGACTTTTTAGTTTCCTAGAGAAATCTGAAGTTTGAGGACAACAACAATAACGAAAACAAAAAACAACAATGTAAACAACAGCTCAATTTATTCTCACCTGCTGAACTGGAGACTTAAAATATTTATTGAAGGGTCATATTGAGGAATGTAATACATGTGGACTGAAAATGGTACTAATATATTGGCCTTGCTAAAGTACTTACCATAATATCTGTAATATATGAATATGAGAAATGTATGCACTCACTAACTGTAAGTCGCTCTGGATAAGAGCGTCTGCTAAATGACTAAAATGTAAATGTAAAATGTAAATATATGTACTGTAGCGTCTTATGTCCAGCTACAACAGTACTCACTGTAATATCTATGGCTAGCTACTACAGTACTTACTGTAATATCTAAGCCACTATGACCATCAATGTGTCCCTGCATGCCTTCCGAGTTGGATGAAGTAGCCCCTAGACACTGATCTAAGGTCTGTCTAAGGTTTGCATTATCCCTCCTTATGGTTATGCTTAGGTTTTGGGGAGGTCTGTGGTTAGGGGTAACTTATACCTTCCCTAACACGCTGGAATATATATGCAGTGAGATTTTGTTATTTTTCTGTTGTAGAAATTGGGTAACATTTTATTTTGAAGGTCTGGTTATAAACTGCTTATAAACTGTTACTAGATAGTTCATATATAGTTTTTTAACCATTAGTTAACCGCTATATCATTCTATATAATGTATTCATGTCTTTATGAATAATAGTAGTTTCGGATGAAAACTATATATATTACAAAGACCAGTATGCTGAATCATATATAGCTAAACCATGAACAACAGATATAAGTTAAGTTGTATAATTAAGTTAAAATAACATGTATTTAATTCATTCAATACTGAACAAGCTATGTATTAGCCATTTAATAGCTAAGTAATGGTGTTTATTATCAGTTAATTATCAGCCTTCCAGATACAGTGTTAGCTATGATTGTCCTACTGTACCAATAGCGTGCTTGTCCTGCTGTTATTGCTAGAGGCTTTAGTGATGTACATGTACGTGTGCCAAGTTTTAAACGACACATGACGATTGTGTGTGTGCGCGCAAACGACACTGTGTGCGTGTCGTTCATTTAAAATACGTTTATTGTATCTTGCCTTGCACTTTACAAAGCGAAACTTAAAGAAAAAATGTGTGCGTGTATGTTGTAAAGTGATCGCTCACTTGTGTTTTTATTGCTATGAAAATGGTCCCTCTCCCTTGTATTTATGACAAATCTATGCGGAGATTTAATGTGTGTTAATAATATGTAATATATAAATATAACCAAACGAATGTTAAAGTATATATATATATATATATATATATATATATATATATATATATATATATATTAAATATGTTTATTCACTTGTCAGTGGTTGTTCTACTGTACATGTACATGCTCTAAGGGTTGCAAAATTCCAGTAACTTTTTCAAAATTCACAGGTTTTCACAAGATTTCCAGATTTTCAGAAGGGAATACGCAGAAAACCCAGAAATCCTCTGAGGATTTTTGGAAACCCGGGAATTTTGGGAAAGTTTCCAGAATTTTGCAACCCTTATGTTCTCACTTTACACATCCTAATCTTATGGAAGACTGGATTCTGAAAAATGTTGCTACAACGTTACTCCAATGCTATGCCAACGATTCCTTAGCTGCTAGGATATCGGTATTGAACAGTATTGAAATCTTGTGTGACATAAAATATATAGTGGTCAACTGCCAAGGTACTGAGAGGAATGGAGAACAACGCAACAACAATGTAACATGAAATATGCCACGGTTGTGTAACAGTATTTGACGGCAAGTTTTTGTGAACGCACTCCTACAAACTGCACTGGATGGACTCTGCTGTGCAATGCTCAAAGCTGGACTCAATGTTGCACGTTGTTTGTTCAAAGATGTTTAATAATAATAATATTGTGCTGTTAATTTGTTGTACTGGTTGATCTCTGTAACCAGGCTGGAAGGTCAGCCTTTGGGCCTAAAAATTATTCCTTAAAGTCCTAAGTGTCAAGATGTTGTATATTATACTATTTAATGGTATAAATTGATAAGGAGGGATGTTATTGTGAATCAAATCTTGAATTGAATCTTGAATTGTGATCAAATCTTGAATTGTGAAACTTTGAACTCATCATGTATTGAACTTGATTGAGTGTTCCAAATGTATATACATTATGCTCCATCTCAGAGCCTAACCGTTATTTTGACAGTTAACTCGACAAAAATGTTTGTTGCCAATAAGACAGGAATCATGCGGGCTATGATTTTACTGTTTTACTGCATATGAGTATCATCAGTGAATTTAGGCCGGGATAGAATCAAAGGCGTGTTGTCGAAAAAGCGCACTGCACTTGACTTTTAAAGGTAATTTAAGCTTGAGCCACTATCAAGCGTGCAGCACCCATCGTGACAGCAGGCCTTCGATTGAATTCCGGCGCTAGGCTATTTATTTGCGCTATCCAACTGCCATTCATCCATGTCCCTGAACCCAGAGAAAGAGACAGCATTCACTGGCTGCTAGCAGGAGGCTGAAATAAAGCGTGTCCATCGCTGTTGGAGTCGTGTGTGTGTGTGTCCCAAGTGCGACACAATGCACGTTAGAAAGATGGAGTTTCTCCTTTGTTTTAATGAATATCACAGCACAGCAGGCCATTTAGCATCACAAACAAGTCACATTCAAACAGCAAAGATGTAGAATGGACAGATACTTTTCAATACAGTAGGCTTTTCTTATTTAATTACAATGAAACCAGAGTACGGTGTCCATATTAGGACATTGATTCTGTCCCAAATTTGTCTGAAAACAGACTTCTGTTGCCTGATATTGGCCTAATATGGACAACGTACTGGGGGGTAGAAGACGATGAAAACTAATCTATAACAGGTTGATATTTCTTATTTGTATCCGTGCATACAGTAGAGATCAATACATAAAACAAATTCAAGTACAATTTCTTTATAAATTAAAAACCAGTAACAATATTACAGCCATACCATTTCCTTGGACTGTAAGGAAAATGGACAATAAAGTATTCTTCTAACAACAATCTCACAAACAGTCAGACCGTCTTGACTGACAGTAGACGTAATCAATAAATCAACTCATCAATTTAACCTTCTAACACGGGCATATCATTCTCTTCTGGAGGATTCTGGATAAGCTGCGGTTTCTCCCACTCCTCATCTGAATCACTGATGTCATCGTCGTCGATGTCCCTGTCCCACTGACTGGGGTCGTCGGCCTCATCTGTGTAACCTGTAATACAGTGAGCAATACTGTGAATCCAGTCAATGTTTTGATTATGGCAGTGTATAGAATGGCAGAAAATGAATGGTGGCTAACCCAATGTTAAAGTTTATGCCTTTCCCTAACCCTTAACCTAACCTCACTGAAGCCATACCTAACCTTAACCTAACCCTTGTTCCTAAACTTAATCTTAATCCTAACCTAAATTTATTTCGACCCCAATGCCTAAATGTACGTTTTCGTTCTGCCGGTGGAATATACACTTCCTTATAATCACAAGATAAAAACAACATAAAGAGGGATGTTTATAGTACCCATGTCCAGGTCCTGGGGTTCTGGTTCTGGTTTGAACTTGGGGTCCTCTAGTTTTCCCCAGGCCACAGCATCTGCCTTACGGAGCGACACTTCCACCTTAGAGGGAACCATGTTGACCCCACTGTTGGCTACATCCGCTACCTAGAGTAGAGGAGGAAGCGGGATATGGGGTTATGGTGGGGATAGTTGTTTGTTGGTGTTTAGAGAGGAGAGAAAGTAGAAACACAGGAAGAGGGAAATAGAAAACAGAAACACAAGCGAGAAAGAAAGAGTAATGTACAGTACAAAGAGAGAGGGAAATAGAGGGAAAACAATTCAAGAGGAGAGAAAAAAAAATTATAACGGTAAAAGCATTGCCGCTCACCCCCCACAGATGGAAGTCCTTATGGAAAATCTTGTTTTCCTCAAACTGGATGTGACAGGTCAGCTACAGGAATAGAGATAGGGACAGGGCGGTAGAGAGAGAAAGAGAGATGTTAATCACCATTAACAACCTTACTCAAAACACCAGCGGGAAAACAGTATATGCCAAAAGTCAATATGCATGAGTGTGTGTTACCACTGTGTGATTGGCTTTGACGTAGGACAGTTGAGGGTTGGCGTTCTTGTATGTCTGTCAGTCTGCGTTTGTGTGTAGCCCGTTCTTACCACAGTGCGGTTAGCCTCGACGTAGGACAGTTCAGGGTTGGCGTTCTTGGCATAGATGGTCACGTAGACCTGTGTGGCTGTCTGGTGCCAGTCATGTCTACACGCTACCTTCTTATTGTTCTGCACACACAAACATTCAGAGAGAAAGACAATAACCCCAGAGTTTACAGTTCACGGTTTACAGCAAAATGTCTAAGTGATTTTCATGTAAAGGCACAATTGGCAACAGGAACAGAACAAAACCCGGACATTAAGAAAAGGTCAAAGACAGAGAGGAGGGCTGACACTGACCACTTTTTGGACCCAGCGATGTTTGCCATTGGTACAACCTTTCTGATCCAGGAAAGCATTAAAGTCTATGGTCTTCACACAGCAACAGTTCCAGTACTTATACCTGTAGGGTTAGAATTACAGCACCGTATTATACCTATAGTATTACATGAATATTACATTTCAGTAGTTTATAATGAAGCAGCATTAAAGTCTATGGTCTTTACACAGCGACAGCTCCAGTACTTATACCTGTAGAAGAGTATATAATAGTATTGTATAATACCTGCTGCAGAATATTGCAGTGCTGTATTAATACAGGCATGTATACAGTGCATTCGGAAAGTATTCAGACCCCTTGACGTTTTCCACATTTTGTTAGGTTACAGCCTTATTCTAAAATTGATTAAATCGTTTTTTTCTTCATCGATCTACACACAATACCCCATAATGACAAAGCAAAAACAGGTTTTTAGAAATGTTTGCAAATGTATATAAATAACAACTTAAATATCACATTTACGTAAGTATTCAGACCCTTTACTCATTACTTTGTTGACGCACCTTTCGCAGGGATTACAGCCTCGATTCTTCTAGGGTGTGACGCTACAAGCTTGGCACACACCTGTATTTAGGGAGTTTCTCCCGTTCTTCTCTGCAGATCCTCTCAAGCTCTGTCAGGTTGGATGGGGAGCGTCGCTGCACAGCTATTTTCAGGTCTCTCCACAGATGTTCGATCGGGTTCAAGTCCGGGCTCTGGCTGGGCCACTCAAGGACATTCAGAGACTTGTCCCAAAGCTACTCCTGTGTTGTCTTGGCTGTGTGCTTCGGGTCGTTGTCCTGTTGGAAGGTGAACCTTCGCCCTAGTCTGAGGTCCTGAGCACTCTGGAGCAGGTTTTCATGAAGGATCTCTCTGTACTTTGCTCCGTTCATCTTTCCCTCGATCCTGACTTGTTTCCCAGTGGCTGTCGCTGAAAAACATCCCCACAGCATGATGCTGCCACCACCATGCTTCACCGTAGGAATGGAGGCAGGTTTCCTCCAGACGTGATGCTTGGCATTCAGGTCATAGAGTTCAAGCTTGGTTTCATCAGACCAGAAAATCTTGTTTCTCATGGTCAGAGTCCTTCAGGTACCTTTTGGCAAACTCCAAGTGGGCTGTCATGTGCCTTTTACTGAGGAGTGGCTTCTGTCTGGCCACTCTATCATAAAGGCCTGATTGGTGGATTGCTGCAGAGATGGTTGTCCTTCTGGAAGGTTCTACCATCTCCACAGAGGAACTCTGGAGCTCTGTCAGAGTGACCATCGGGTTTTGGTCACCTCCCTGACCAAGGCCCTTCTCCCCTGATTGCTCAGTTTGGCCGGGCAGCGAGCTATAGGAAGAGTCTTGGTGGTTCCAAACTTCTTCCATTTAAGAATGATGGAGACCACTGTGTTCTTGGGGACCTTCAATGCTACAGAAATGTTTTGGTACCCTTCCCCAGATCTGTGCCTCGACACAGTCCTGTCTCGGAGCTCTATGGACAATTCCTTCGACCTCATGGCTTGGTTTTTGCTCTGACATGCACTGTCATCTGTGGGACCTTGTATAGACAGGTGCGCGCCTTTCCAAATCATGTCCAATCAATTGAATTTACCACAGGTGGACTCCAATCAAGTTGTAGAAACATCTCAAGGATGATCAATGGAAACAGGATGCACCTGAGCTCAATTTTGAGTCTTATCTCAAAGGGTCTGAATACTTAAAAATATATATATATTAGCAAACATTTCTAAAAAACCTGTTTTTGTTTTGTCATTATGGGGTATTGTGTGTAGATTGATGAGGAAAAAATATGTATTTCATCCATTTTAGAATAAGGCTGTAACGTAGCAAAATGTGGAAAAAGGGAAGGTGTCTGAATATTTTCAGAATGCACTGTAAGTATAATACAGTCATTGTCTTACCCCTCGTGGAAGACTGGCACTCCAGGGTGGTGTGTACAGGTCTCTCCGTTGGTCTCTGGGCCCTGGTATTGCTGTCAACAACAACAAACAACAATTAACCACTGAATTATTATCCTCTCAGGTAGGGAGATAACTAACATGCTAACAACAATTTGAGAAAACCTGAATGAAAGTCAGTGGGAACACAATCAGGTAGCTATACTGATTTGGCACTAATTTCAATTCCTCAGTAAGAATTGAAATGATTATACTTCCTATGCTTTGGCAGTGTTTGTTGGTTATGGAGAGCCATGAGTTGGGCCATTGAGGTTTCTGTATTATGATGCATTTACATGATACTACAACATTCTATGGCAGCCATGTTAGCACACCATTAACATTACATGGGGAACATTTAAATAATGATATGCAACTGAATGTCTAGAATTAGAACAATATTCAACATTCGTAAAGTCGACCGAACTCTAAAATATTAGGTTCTGGTACAAACTGTTGAATTACGGGAAAGAGTTAACACTGTCTGAGACAGGCTGTTAGCCATCAGCAGAATGCAACAGATGCATTATCTACAAAGACAGGAGTTACTGCACCTCAAATGTTTTACTCCCTTCTCTGTGACACACACACACACACACACGAGCGCATACACGCACACACAGACAAAAACACACATGGATAAAGACACACGCATACACAGACACACACAAAAGAGACACCTACTGTTTTGCATCCTGTGTTCTTGCATCGCGTTCCCTGCATGACAACTGCACTCTCTGTGAGGGCGAGAGAGAGAGAAAGAAAGAGAGGAGAAAGAGAAAGAGGGAGGGTCAGAAAGACAGGGTGGGGTTAAACTTACTGCTGAAATCTTACGTTGCAAAATAAACAAAGTAGTTTCAAAATAATGTTATATTTCATCAGAGAAGTATTGGTATTATTCAACAGAGGCATTGAAACGCCCTGGTATTATATAGAAACCAACGATTTGAGCAACAAGAGGAAACAGAACAAAGAAGAAGGTTTGGGAGGGATACACACACACACACACACTTACCTTTCTTCTCCAGTTCTGCCTTGCTGCTGATTTCCATCTTCCCAAGAACCTGAGTCAGAGAGGCAGACACCTTCAGCTTCAGCTTGGTCTTATCCTCATCTGAACTGTAAAGGACAATAAATAAATAAATAAATACACAAAAAATTTAATAAATAAACACCAAATCAGCCATCTGAGCAAGCAGACCCTACCTGGGTCTCTCTTTCTGCAGTGCCTCAGCTGATTTGGGCCCCTGGTAAATGATCTCCTCTCTGTTGTTTCTCACGCCGTTCTTGTCTGATGTCACTGTCGGCTGCATAGGCTCCTGGGGCATTTTGTTGCTATGACGCCCCTGGGTGCAGCCCTACAATAGGAAAGTCCAATAGAAAAGTAATGTCAGGATACAGCCTCTCATACTTAGGAATACTGCGTACAGAGTACCCTGACAGCGAACTACTGCATATACAGTACCAGTCCAAAGTTTGGCCACACCTACTCATTCAAGGGTTTTTCTTTATTTGTAGTATTTTCTACATAATAGTGAAGACGTCAAAACTATGAAATAACACATATGTAATCAACGTAGTAAGCAAAAAGGGTTAAACAAATCAAAGTGTTTTATATTTGAGATTCTTCAAATACCCACCCTTTGCCTTGATGACAGCTTTAAAACACTCTTGGCATTCTCTCAACCAGCTTCACCTGGAATGCTTTTCCAACAGTCTTGAAGGAGTTCCCACATATGCTGAGCACTTGTTGGCTGCTTTTCCTTCGCTCTGCCGTCTGACTCATCCCAAACCATCTCAATTGGGTGGAGGTTGGGGGATTGTGGAGGCCAGGTCATCTGATGCAGCACTCCACCACTCTCCTTCTTGGTAAAATAGCCCTTACACAGCCTGGAGGTGTGTTGGGTCATTGTCCTGTTGAAAAACAAATGATAGTCCCACTAAGCCCACACCAGATCGGATGGCGTATCACTGCAGAATGCTGTGGTAGCCATGCTGGTTAAGTGTGCCTTGAATTCGAAATAAATCACTGACAGTGTCACCAGCAAAGCACCCCCACAACATAACACCTCCTCCTCCATGCTTTACAATGGGAAATACACATGCGGAGATCATCCGTTCACCCACACGTGTCTCACAAAGACGGCGGTTGGAATCAAAAATCTCAAATTTGGAATCCAGACTAAAGGACACATTTCCACCGGTCTAATGTCCATTACTCGTGTTTCTTGGCCCAAGCAAGTCTCTTCTTCTTATTGGTGTCCTTTAGTAGTGGTTTCTTTGCAGCAATTCGACCATGAAGGCCTGATTCACACAGTCTCCTCTGAACAGTTGAATTTGAGATGTGTCTGTTACTTGAACTCTGTGAAGCATTTATTTGGGCTGCAATTTCTGAGGCTGGTAACTCTATTGAACTTATTCTCTGCAACAGACGTAAATCTGGGTCTTCCATTCCTGTGGTGGTCCTCATGAGAGCCTGTTTCATCATAGCGCTTGATGGTTTTTGCGACCGCACTTGAAGAAACTTTCAAAGTTCTTGAAATGTTCTTTATTGACTGACCTTCATGTCTTATTTGAGCTGTACTTGTCATAATATGGACTTGGTCTTTTACCAAATAGGGCTATCTTCTGTATACCCCCCCTACCTTGTCACAACACAACTGATTGGCTCAAACACATTAAGAAGGAAATCAATTCCCCAAATTAACTTTTAAGAAGGCACACCTGTTAATTGAAATGCATTCCACGTGACTCTCATGAAGCTGGTTGAGAGAATGCCAAGAGTGTGCAAAGCTGTCATCAAGGCAAAGGGTGGGTATTTGAAGAATTAGTCAAATATAAAATATATTTTGATTTGTTTAACACTTTTTTGGTTACTACATGATTCCATATGTGTTATTTCATAGTTTTGATGTCTTCACTATTATTCTACAATGTAAAAAATAGTACAAATAAAGAAAAACCCTTGAATGAGTAGGTGTGTCCAAACTTTTGACTGGTAGTGTACTTGATCAATACTGTTACCTGAGCTATGCCTATAGGCTTTATCTCAGTGGGTTAAAACAGTCTTGAGTTCAAACCCAGTTGGTCCCACGTTGTCCTTACCTTGATAGAAAGGAACTCAGAGAAGTCTGTGGTCCTCTTCCTACAACAAGACCAACCCTGGACACACACATCGTTTATCAATTCAATCAAGTACTGTGAGGATAGTTTCATATTTATTGATTCTCATCTGTGCTTTTCTCAAAAGTGTTTATTTAAATACCTTCAGAGCATCGTGGAAGATGGGAACACCAGGATGATGAAGACAGGCATCTAGAGAGAGACAGAGAACAAAAAGTGATTGTGGGCTCTGGCATTTGTCAGACACAAACGTTGTAACCTGTCACATACACAATAAGCAGGGTCTCCTAGACAGCCGTCATAGGGGTCTGGTCATAAGGGGAAGGGGGTTGGGCCCATATACAGCATTAACTAACCTAACAGTTGCTATGAAGATGAGACCTCAGCAGACCTAAAGACGTGGAGAATTATGTCGGCGCATGCTTTCTCTCAGTATCTGTCTCTCTCATTTGCACATCTGTCACACACGTGCCTACAATACAATCTCTCAATCCGGAATCTCTGCATGGGATCAATCTTCGTCTGGGAAACTGGCCCTTTCAGTTTTGCTAAAGACACCTGTCGATTCCCCTCTCTGTCCCACAGGAGTCTGTTAGACTATCAGAACGATTACCATAATACACATTATCCCCTCTACATTTGGCCATTTAAAAACTGTATTAGTCTACAATACACTGAAAACGCAAACACCTTGCAATATTTGCAACATGCAATTAATCCAATAATACTATTCCTAACTAACTCTGTCAACTACAGTGCATTCAATACAACCTGTGTACTACCGCAGTACAACAGTGAATAATAAACCGTGTGTTCGAGTTAGAGTAGTAAATCGTTTTACCGTCTTTGTTCTTGTCAGTATCAAACTTCTCTCCACAGCCTTTGTTGTAGCAAAGAAGAGCCATATTGGCCTAGTATTTTGTTAGTCCTCCCGTAACTCTTCCACCTAACTTTTCCTTCAACTATCCCTCGCTCTTCTTTCTCCTCTTCGAGGGGCTTCGAAACTTGAATCCCACCCTGTCTTCCAGAACTTTCTCCCGGATAGAAGAGAAGAAGCAAGAGAATGAGAGAAAGAACGAGAGAGATCCAGGGGGACTAAGAGAGGAAAGAGAGGGGGTCTCTGCTTGGCCTGGCTGAATGAATGATAAAAATAGCCACCAGTCATCCTCCCTCTTCAGCTGTCAGTCCTTATCTAGTGGTTGCATTCCTCTCTCCTGGCTGTGTGTGTGTACTGCGCTAAGCATATGTGTAGGTGTGTCCTGGCATGGCAGTTAGGGGCTAAGACAGGGTCTCCCAAAGGGGTGCACGTTTAGGTTTTTGCCCTAGCACTACACAGCTGATTCAAAAAATCAACTGGGCGAAGAGCTGTCAGAAAAAGCTGCTTACCATGCGGCAAACCGTATACTGTAACACCAACCGGTCCCATGTGGCTCAGTTGCGCTTGCAATGCAAGGGTTGTGGGTTCCATTCCCACTACTGTAAGTCGCTCTGGATAAGAGCGTCTGCTAAATGACTAAAACGTAAAATGTAAGAGCGTCTGCTAAAATGTAGGTGGAGGTTGTTTTGAACAGCATACAAACATTTGACTCAGCGCAGACACTCCAAACTCAAAAAAAATTTAAAATCACAAAATGCTTCAGGAATGGAAAATGACTTTATTTCTTCCAAAAAAAGATAAAACCCTAAAATAAACAAAAATAAACACAGTAAGTAAAATAAAAGCCCATGATTTATTTGTATTTCTGTAACGTTCGTTTTGTATTATTTCCATGCTTAATAAAATCCTTATACTTCTGCATAAATAAATAAAAATGTACAAAGAGAGGGGGAAGAACAAGAAGAATCAGAGACGAAGGTGTGATTCTCTGAATCATTTGGCATCATTGACAATCAATCAATGACATCCATTGGTGACCTACAGATATACAGCCAATCCCATTCTTCATACGTTTAATCCCCCATTGGGTATTATAATATCATATCTATATACTGTATAATTCAAATAGCATGTTCAGAAAAAGAAAAAAAAGAATACAAAAAGACAAAAATAACAATTAATGGCAGATGTGTATGGATACGTCCCAAATAACACCATGGTTGCGTTTACATAGGCAGCACAATACAATAATTGGTCTTTGACCAATCAGACCAGCTCTTTTACCAATAATTGGGCAAAAGATCAGAATTGGGCTGCCTGTGTACACGCAGCCCATATTCCCTGTATAGTACACTATAGCGATTAGGATTGGGATGCATACATGTATGTATGTATGTATGTATGTATGTATGTATGTATGTATGTGTTTGTGTGTTTCTACTTCTATTTACATAGTTATCACCAGGCAGCTATCAGAAGGGTAGTTGTTTCCAAAAAACATATAGAAAAAAAAAAGTTTGTTGAACAAACACACCGACTGAAAATGAGGGAATTTATCAGTTTATAAACGGATAAATGGATGCATTTTATGGAGAGATGTATCCAAATGTATCCGTTTATAACCCCAAAAAGCCATTCCTCTATTTCCCCCTTCCTTTTTCATTTCAGGTTGATGACATCTTCAATTACTGAGTTATTACAGGCTCACCACCAGAGGGTACTACACTTGCAGATATGATCAAAAAGACCCATTTCAAAAAGAGAAAAAGTAACGTGGCATCTTTGGAAAAGTAAAAGGGTTTGGCTACACCCCTCAGACCTCCTCCACCAATGCGTTGAGGACAGAGGATGCAAGGAGTCAAGGAAAACCTATTGAGATTCACCCTAGATCTATGGTTAGGGGTGCCTGTCCTTGCAGCATGTAATCAGAAACAACCCGGACACTTGAACGAGTTTAAACAGACAACAGAGTAGATCAGATCATGCTTTTAAGGGCATCTGTAGAAACAACACGACATCATCACGACCATGCACTCATAAACAGGGGAAGAAAAGCCGACCATAAACAGACCATCTGCGTGATTCGACATTGTTGGCATTCGCTCTGGAAGCTAACATTCTTCTGGTTTTAGGAGATGAGAGAAAGCCACTTAAGATTATTGAGATGCACCCCCAAAGACTATAATAGGACAATCAACATTGTAGTCTCCACGCTGTCACTCTCACTCTCTGCTCTTCTCCCACTATTTTGAAACCAGTTCAGGCAGGATAACATGCAGAACAACAGTCTAGTTAAAAAATGACACAAAAAGAGAGAAAATACGAGAAACTACTGAAGAACCAGAGAACATAAGACATGATAAATTCAAGAGAAAAATAAAAAGCTGTGCTCATCAACTTCAGTGCCAAACAGAAGGGTTGCGTGCCAAACAGAAGGGTTGCATCCCAAATGGCATCCTATTCCTTTTGACCAGAGGCCTTCATAGGGACTAGGGAGCCATTTGGGATGCAATTATAGTTGTCCCTAGAGACTGATCTAAGGTCAGTTTTGTATTTCTCCCCTAATGGTTGAGGTAAGGGTTCTCTGAGCCTAGATATGTGTCTAAAGAGCAACTTCTACCCAGAGCATCATACCCTCCTGAGTAATGACTATCTCAGTACGAGCAGCCCAGAGAAGGGCTTCAGTTTTGGGACACAAAGATTGGGAGGAGTCCTTAAAGGCCCAGTGCAGTCAAAAACATGATTTTCCTGTGTTTTTAAATATATATCCACACTATAAAGTTGGAATAATAGTGTTATATTGTGCAAATTTTGTGTAAGAGCGGTTTGAAGACTGTCAAATGTCAGCCTGTTTTGGTGGGATAGTTTTGGCCTGCCTGGTAACATCACCAGGCAGTAAATTAGTAGACAATAAGAAATAGAGTTCCAAACCTCTCTGCCAATAACAGCTAGTTTTCCGTTTTCCCCTCCCCACTCAGACCACCCCCTGACAGTCCTAGCAAAATGATTGCTTGAGAAATGGCTCTTTGCTAAGAAGCTATTTTTGTTAATTTTTTACCATTTTAATTGAAATCAATCAAAACTACGTAATTGTTACCCAGAAATGATTTGATATTGAGATAAAAACAGCTGCATCGGACATTAAACTTCCAAAATGACCAACACTGGTTCTCAAACCGATTTTACACTGGCAATCCTTCAGACAGAGACTAGTGCCACCAGAAACCTCAAATACTTCAGGACTACAGACTTAATTCTTCACTGAGTATATAATCTCCCTTAGACATTGTGGGTAGTTCAGTTTCACCGACAAGACTGGACATAAAATGCATATGATCCAATCAGAGACCGTTTAAGTTTAAAGATGGCGGACACGCCCACTCACAGCATGAGTAGTGAAGGCCTACGACAGAGTCCAGTGAAGAAACAGGAAGTTAGAAGACAGAGGGAATTGTAAAGTTATCTACAAAAGCAGAAGCCAGAAGAGAATCCAGAGCTATACATACTAGACAGTGAAGACTAAGAGGAGATTCTATCGAGATCTAGTTCTACTAGAGGAGATTCTATCGAGATCTAGTTCTACTAGACAATGAAAAAGAGGTCAGAAGGGGAATCTAGTGTTACTGGAGACAATTCTAGAGATATATCCAATAGACCAGGGGTGTCAAACTTATTCCACGGAGGGCCGAGTGTCTGCGCTTTTTTTCTCTCCTTTCAATTAAGACCTAGACAACCAGGTGAGGGTTGTTACTAATTAGTGACTTTAATTCATCAATCAAGTACAAGGGTGGAGCGAAAACCCGCAGACACTCGCCCCTCCGTGGAATGAGTTTGACACGTATTCACAGTAAAAGAAACACCAAGAGAAGCTAGAGCTATACATACTAGACAGTGACAAGAGGCTAAGAGTGGAATTTAGCGCTAGGTCTACTAGCCAGTGACGAGCCACCCAGATAATTTTGAAGACAATGGCAATTGGCAAGTGACCAACAGGTGAATATAGAGCTATATGCACTAGCTGCAAATATGATAAGAGAAGGTTCTAGAGAGCTAGGTCTACTAGAAAGTGAACGGGATCAGAGTTAGACGCTCCACAGTCCTCAACAACTCACTGGTGATGTGGACCGAGACAAGGGGAAGGGTTTGTCTTAGGGACCTGCATGTGCATTCACAACAAGCATTTCGCTACACCTGCAAATCTGTGTATGTGACCAATAAACTTTGATTTGATCAATTTATGACCAATTCTTTCCTTTCATTCAGGTTCTGAATGAGGTCATATCAGTGCAACATTTCAGCTTGTTCATCAAAAATAATAAATGACAACATATATGTGCACGTAACATAACTAGGGGGCATAACTCGCTATTGGTTTCAGCGTCAAGATATAGGTAAACAGAAAACAGCCCTCAATGAAAAACACATGGCATGAGTGTTACAGAAACACGCACACACGAATGTGTGTTATACAGAGGAATTAGACAGTGAAAACTATGGCAACTGTGACCCTATACCTGTTTTGACCTTTGGCACCAATAGTGGTTACATTGACATCTTTTTATAAAGCATATGGGACCTAGAGTATGCTCAAACCAGTATTGGGTTGTCCATTTCAACTCTATGTGCCCCAAATATTTAACAATAAAGTAACCCTTGGCAATTAAGTTTAATTCAGCGCTAACCAGTACCAACCTTATTGGCACATTTATCTGTTAAAAATAAAATCATGAAACAGTTCTGTTGATTCGTCAACAGTTTGACAATATCATCCTTCCTTTGACACCAAAAGTTACTTTGACATCCTTTCATTTTACCCATCTTGACTGTGTATGGCTTTAAAATGACTGTATGGCTTTAAAAACAATAAGACACCATCATGAGTAATGGACATTATGATAGAGGAAACACAAATTGTGACATCAACCATCAGAATTATCCTATTCTGAAATCAAACATTGTTTCGCAGGATGGAGGTGTGTGTGTGTCTGCACGTTAATGCGTGTGGGTGTGTATAACGTGCTTTGTGTGTGTGCGTGCGAATCCAACATTTAAGGACACACTGAGGATGAAGAATACACTTTTTACAAGACACACAAATAAAGAGGAGGGATTAAAAACATTTTACAACAGTTCTCTAGTGGCTCTTCATGGACAAATAGAGTAGACATAAGAAGCAGATGAGGGTTGGGCTGGTGGTAAGATTATGGTGGTTGTGAGGATGAGGGTAGAGGGCTGTCCTTAATGTTTTATACTTAGTCTGATTGCACGTGGTGAAGGCTTCTCCGTGTCTGAAACAGCTCCCTTGGGTAACATACACACCTTAAGTGCTTTTCTTAACTACCGAACAGTCAAGGATGGAAAGCGAGCAGGGACAAGCAGTACTGTGTGACTTTGGTTCCACCCGTTTGATCGATATCAGTAACGGTGAGAAAGTTGGAGAATTAAAATAAAGATTTCTAGAAACCGTTGGCTAAGAAAGAAGGTAGAGACCAGCTCACAAATAAATGGTTTATAAACAGTGTGCACGCACACACACAAGTGCTTACAAATAGAACAACTGAATCTAAACATCTACGTCTTCCAACCAGTGTGTAACTAACTCACCATCCAGAGAGGGTGGATGCAACTTTAACCTACAGATCTATTTCTATCCAAACCCGTCTGTTCTGCCTACGGCTAGATCCTCACCTCTCCCGTCCTCGCTCTTTTACTCTGTGTGACAAATTGCTCAATATCAACTTAGTAACATACATACAACCACAAAGAGTCCCAGTAACTGTAACAGGGCCTAGGCTATCTATCTATGTACACCAACGACCAGAGAACGTAACAGAGGACAAACTAACCCAACAAAGAGACTTCATAATATATACACTGGTCCTAAGTGCAATAAACGTAGGACCTCTTAACCCCTGATCCCTTCACACTGTCGACTCAAAACGACCTACACATTCAGGTTTTAGGTCATTTTAAACCCAGTAATGGGCTTCCGTTATTTCGGCAGCGGTTGTTTTTTAAATATACAGTATTTATTTTAGATTTTTTTAGTGAGGGGGGCTGTTTCAGACAGAGAGATGAGCCTTTATTATGACATATCCCCTCCTCCGTCCTCTATCCTTCCTTCCGTCTATCCGCCATCTCCCGGGTTCACCCTCCCTTTCTTTCTCTTCGCTCTTCCTCTCCTCTAGTATTTGGTGTTGGTTGGTTTTTCTTCAGTCTGTCCTTTCGTCTGTGTCTGTCATTCCTTCGTTCATTCATTCGTTCATCTAGTCTTCGTTGGTTCGCTGTGTGTGTTTTTGCCATTGCTTTCGGCACTCTGCTCCCCCCATGAGATTACATGAACTGCATCTGAAAGAGGGAGAAAGACAGTCAGAAATAAAGACAGACGACAGGGTTTAACAAAAAGAAGACTTGTCAAAGAGGAAGTAAAGGTTGGTTAGGGCAGGCGTTTAGGTTGTGCCTGAACTATATGGACGGGGGCCAATCTGAACTAAAGGGTTGGGGGGAGGGTTCCCTGGGCTTTAGGGATGGTGACAGAGGTTTGTGGGGTGTAAAGGGGTGTGGTATTATGGTGTAAGGTGGTCGGGCTGTAGAAATGGTGAGAGGTTACCTGGGCTCCAGGCATGGGGGCGAAGGGATTTGTGGGTCTGAGTACAGGCTGGTTGTACATCATGGGCTGGGGGGCCATCAACTGTACACCCCCAATCTGACCCATTTGAGGAGGGACCTGAGATAGAAACATTTTCCAGTACTCAAGTAGGTTGTCTCTTTGTTGGTTACACTTTAGTTTTTTTGAAAAAAGAGAGAGAGCGAGAGAAAGGGGAGAGGCAGAGAGAGAGAGCGAGAGAGAGCGCGCGAGAGAGAGAGATTTGCGTCGGATTTGAGCGGCCCTAACTGCTAGACCACCCCAGGCCATGGTAATTCTCCTATCACAATACATCCTAGGTTATACATGTAAAGTTAAATGTGTCTTGTAGCGTGTGAGCATTGAGCAGTACTGACCATTCCATACATAGGCACTTGCGGTGTCGTCATGGGGAATGTCATAGGAGCTGGAGCCTGTTAGAGAAGAGAAAGAGAGACCTGATTAGCAACTCAAAAAGAGTGCAGCGGAGGAGCTAAAAGGGGAGTCTATACAGGGAAGGCGGTACAGGTAATGACATCACTAATGCTCATGGACACCATCACATTCACAACTACAGATAAACACAGGTAAAATAAACAACTACAGATAAACACAGGTAAAATAACACGCATGGAAGTGAGGTTGTACAAATCGAATTGACTAGAGCAGTGTTCCTTTAAAATACTGCACTAGGCTAATTTGTTATCAGTTAAGCACCTAACGAGAACAGTAGATTGCCTCTCCCTGGTAGAAATAAAGGCAGGTGGCAGTAAGGTGAGGAAACCGTTTCAACTACAAGGAAAAAACCCTCTTATCTTTTAAAACAAACAACAAGTAGGGGAGGAATGCAGGAGGCAGAGATCGCACTGAGCTGATACTGACCCGGGGTGTACACTCAATACACTCCCCCTCATGGATTTAAAACAAATGGACTGGTGTAAGAAATATGGTGGAAACTTTCTTCAGCCATGCTTGCACCAATCGGATGCTATAAAATGCATAAGGAGGAGTGAGAGTACACTTCACAACGAGTATACACTTCTGGGTCGAGAATCGTAACAAAGACCAGAAATCTCTCTAAACAGACTAGATAGGCCCCTGGTGAAAAGTAGTGCACTATATAGGGAATAGGCTTCCATTTGGGACATAACCTACTACTTACATAACTGGCATAGAACATCCCATTCTGCATGGCAAGGACGCACAGAGAGACAGAGACAGACAGAGACAGAGAGACAGACAGAGAGATAGAGAGACAGAGAGAGAGAGACAGAGAGAGAGAGGGAATGAGGAAGGTTAATTAAACGCAGCAAAAACAGGATAAGGGGAAGGAGGATGACAACGCAAACAGGATATTTCAAAAGAAAGGGAAAAAAAGAGCGATAGAGAGAAACGAGTGATAGAGAAAGAAGCGAGCGGGCCAGAGACAGAAGACGATAATTACAGCGACGACAAAGAGACAAAGAGACAGAGGGGAGGGCAGGAAGGAGGAAGAGAAGAAGCCAGGGGTTAGTGACAGATTTCCACAATCAGCCAGTATTGTAGAAGAGATCAGGAGGACAATCATCTATTGGCAAGCTCAGCACTCAGTCTTGGCTAGAGCATCTCTACTGCACCTGGACATCATCTCTAAACAGATAACATACATAACACACAAACACACTACTACTCACCATGTGTTGTACAGGCATGGGTGCAGGGGCCATGGGAGCAGGGTTCCATGCCGTGGTGGTAGTCATGGTCTTGCTCTGCCAGTTGTGTCCCCCAGTTAGCTTCTTCTCTCCAGGCTGACTCCACTGCATGTCTGGCCTGAACACCGGAGCACACAGCGACAAAATGCACCGCGCAAAAACACCACACTCGTTAATCAACTGTTACCATGGATATTATACAGGTGTGGACGTGTTTAACTATACTTGTCCCCACAAGAATAGTAAACGAACAAAGATTTGACCAACTTGGGACATTTTGTTAGTCGCCACAAGGTCAAATACTATTTCTAATGGGGTTTAGGGTTAAGGTTAGAATTAGGTTTAGGAGCTAGGGTTAGTTTTAGGGAAAACAGGATTTTGAAAGGGACTGAATTGGTTAGTTACACAAGACTGTGTGTGTTTTTGAAAAGCGTGTTACAAATAAAATATATTATTACAATATTGTAGCTCGAGTTCTTCACTAGGTCTCAACGTGTGTCTTGTTACAGGTAAAATCCTGCAGATTTGAATAATGCAGGCAAGTTATTTTAGTTTCAATTTCTTTTTCAACAGATTTGAGCAGCACAGAAGCTTTTCAGTGTTGGCTTTGAGTCGGCTCGCCCTAGTACAGTAGAGTGGGATGGCAGTCCGCCATATAGTCTATCGTCTAGGGAAAACACTGCAGTCAGTCTGTTCCATTGTTGATTGGTTATACAAAACATTATTGTTTTGTAATTAAAAACACTAGTATAACTTCCGTGCACTAAATACTTATTCAAGTTTATTTTAGTTCTGTGTTTCATGTCTTGAAGCAGACAACTGTGTGTTTTGAGCAGGGGCTGCCTGGGACTGGAGAACTGTAGGATGGCAGCCCGCCATAGCCTTCCATTATCTAGGGGAAAACGCTGCAGTAGTCTGGCACTACATCACTTCCCAACTCATACACGCACGCATGCGACACACATCACAACTACTACACTTACTTCTTGGCTGGGGCTCCTCCGAACTGCAGATCTGAGGAAGAGAGAGCGAGGGATGGTGAGACAGAGAGAGAAAGAGGAGAGCAAGAGAGAGAAGAGAGGGAGAGAGCAAAAGCATTAGAGGGAGAGAAAGAAGGTGAGCGAGTATCTAAAAGACAGCGAGACAGAAAGAAAGAGAGCCGGCCAGCCCTGGCTGGTAGTGAAGGCTCCTAAACATACTGTAGACTGAGACCAGTGCCTCCCTACTGGGTTCCTCTCTCTCTGTGTCCTCTCCCTGCCTGCCAATAGTTCTCTGGCCAGAGCTCTGGCAGATAGGCCATCCACTACCATTAGCCTGGCTCAAATGTCTCTATTGACAACTCTACCACGGGCAGAGATATTCACTAGAGGGCAAGACCAAGGGGGAGAGAAGAGGGAGGGAGAAAAGAGAGTCACATGAGGAGTAAGGAGAATGCACAAAGAGAAAGAAACTGAAACAAATGGAGGCAGAAGGGAGAAAGAGGTGGAAACAGACAGATGAGAGGATCCAAAAGAACAATATGTATGTCTGTACAGTACTCACTGCCTACGAGGTTGGCAAGGGACGAGTCGAGGTCATTGGCCAGCAGCTTGCCTCCTGGGTGCCCTGGATGGGGGTGACCGGGGTGGGGATGGCCGGGGTGGTGCAGGGCCATCGGAGGAGCCTGGTTGTGGCTGGGCACTGTGGGCTTCAGCAGGTCCCCTAGAGCGTCAAACCCTGGAGGATAGGTCCACAGGAGACATACATTTAATTGCATTATACATACACAGAGATTAGACAAACACAAAGCATAGGCCAGGATCACACACAGATGGGATATGAGGTTAAAAGAAAAGCAACGCACATGCAGGAAAGATTTGACTCAAGAGAAAAGAGGACTTGGGAGGCAAGATCAGGTTGTGGGATCGCAATCCATCTGTTCAGTATCATGACAGAGTCATACAGTCAAAAGGTTGCTTTTAATTCTACGCTCAGGGCTAAGTAGCTGTGTCCAATCTATGTATCATATTTCTAGGCTTAGCAGCAGTATTTGTGTTATACTGGATTTACATTGCCTTCAGAAAGTATTCATATCCCTTGACATATTCAATTTACAGCCTGAATTCAAAATGTATTAAATTGATTTTTTCCCACCTCACCCATTTACACATAATAGCCCATATTGACAAAGTAAAAACATGTTTTTCTTAATTTTTGCAGTATTCACACCCGAGTCACTACTTTGTAGAAGCACCTTTGGTGTCGATTACAGCTTTGAGTCGTCTTGGGTATATCTGTATAAGCTTTGCACATCTGGATTTGTGGATTTCCTTCCATTCTTCATTGCAGATTTCCTCAAGCTCTGTTAAGTTAGATGGGGAGCGGTGGTGAACAGCAATCTTCAAGTCTTTCCACAGATTTTCAATTGGGATTCAAGTCTGGGCTTTGGCTGGGCCACTCAAGGACTTCCACATTCTTGTTCTGAAGCCATTACAGCATTGCTTTGGTTGTATGCTTGGGGTCATTGTCATGTTGGAAAGTAAATCTTCACCCTAGTCTAAGGTCGTTGGCACTCTGAAGCAGGCTCCCGTCAAGGATTTGCCTGTATTTGGCTCCATTCATTGTTCTCTCTATCCTTACCAGTCTCCCAGTACCGGCCGCTGAAAAGCATCCCCATAGCATGATGCTGCCACCACCATGCTTCACGACCCTGGGACTAGACACCTCCCTCTGCAACTGGATCCTGGACTTCCTGACGGGCCGTCCCCAGATGGTAAGGGTAGGTAACAACACATCCGCCACGCTGATCCTCAACACGGGGGCCCCTCAGGGGTGTGTGCTCAGTCTACTCCTGTACTCCCTGTTCACTCATGACTGCATGGCCAGGCACGACTCCAACACCATCATTACGTTTGCTGATGACACAACAGCGGTAGGCCTGATCACCGACAACGACGAGACAGCCTATAGGGAGGAGGTCAGAGACCTGGCCGTGTGGTGCCAGGACAACAACCTATCCCTTAACGTGATCAAGACAAAGGAGATGATTGTGGACTACAGGAAAAATAAGCTGACCGAGCACGCCCCCATTCTCATCGACGGGGCTGTAGTGGAGCAGGTTGAGAGCTTCAAGTTCCTTGGTGTCCACATCACCAACAAACTAACATGGTCCAAGCACACCAAGAGGGCTCGACAAAACCTATTCCCCCTCAGGAGACTGAAAAGATTTGGCATGGGTCCTCAGATCCTCAAAAGGTTCTAGAACTGCACCACGAGAGCATCCTGACTGGTTGCATCACTGCCTGGCATGGCAACTGCTCGGCCTCTGACCGCAAGGCACTACAGAGGGTAGTGCGTACGGCCAAGTATATCACTGGGGCCAAGCTTCCTGCCATCCAGGACCTCTACACCAGGCGGTGTCAGAGGAAGGCCCTAAAAATTGTCAAAAGCTCCAGCCACCCTAGTCATAGACTGTTTTCTCTGCTACTGCACGGCAAGAGGTACTGGAGCGCCAAGTCTAGGTCCAAGAGGCTTCTAAACAGCTTCTACCCCCATGCCATACTCTCTGTTTATTATCTATGCATAGTCACTTTAATAACTCTACCTACATGTACATATTACCTCGACTAACCGGTGCCCCCGCACATCGACTCTGTGCCGGTACCCCCTGTATACAGCCTCGCTATTGTTATTTTACTGCTGCTCTTTAATAATTTGTTACTTTTATTTATTTTTGTAAGGTCTACACCGGTTGTATTCGGCGCATGTGACTAATAACATTTCATTTTGATTTGATTAGTCCAAATTTGAGATTTTTGGTTCCAACCGCCGTGTCTTTGTGAGACGCAGAGTAGGTGAAAGGATGATATCCGCATCTGTGGTTCCCACCGTGAAGCATAGAGGTGGTGTGATGGTGCTTTGCTGGTGACACTGTCAGAGATTTATTTAGAATTTAAGGCACACTTAACCAGCATGGCTACCACAGCATTCTGCAGCGATATGCCATCCCATCTGGTTTGCGCTTAATGGGACTATCATTTGTTTTTCAACAGGACAATGACCCAAAACACACCTCCAGGCTGTGTAAGAGCTATTTGACCAAGAAGGAGAGTGATGAGTGCTGTATCAGATGACCTGGCCTCCACAATCATCCGACCTCAACCCAGTTGAGATGGTTTGGGATGAGTTGGACCGCAGAGTGAAGGAAAAGCAGCCAACAAGTGCTCAGCATATGCGGGAACTCCTTCAAGACTGTTGGAAAAGCATTCCAGGTGAAGCTGGTTGAGAGAATGCCAAGAGTGTGCAAAGCTGTCATCAAGATTAGTACCACTGGTCTGGTCTGGTCTGTCAACAGTCATTCTAAAAATGGGAACACATTGCCCTCTACTTTGAAGAATCTAAAATATAAAATATATTTTGATTTGTTTAACACTTTTTTGGTTACTGCATGATTCATATGTGTTATTTCATAGTTTTGATGTCCTCACTATTATTCAACAATGTAGAAAATAGTAAAAATAAAGAAAAACCCTGGAATGAGTAGGTGTGTCCAAACTTTTGACTGGTACTGTATATTAATTCGATATTTCTGTATTTCATTTTCAACACATTTGCAAAAAATCCATTGTGGGGTATTGTGTGTAGAACGGTGAGAAATCTATTTAACACATTTTGAATTCAGGCTTTAACAACAAAATGTGGAATAAGTCATGGGGTATGAATACTTTCTGAAGGCACTGTGGCTGACATGTTGTGGAGTCATTATGCTGATGGATTATATTAATTCCAAATCTAGACTAAAACAGTTGATGTGCACTCCTTCAGTTTCTAGTCAGCCTCAGTAGCAGAAGTATGAGAAATTGATGTTTGTTCCATTCCTTCCATTTCTAGGCTCAGCCGCAGTAGCTATATTTGTGTTATGATGGATGTATGTGCTTGTGGTGTCATGTTGTTGAGTCATTACACTTAGAGGCTGTACTGTAGGCTGACCGGTGGGTGTGTGGTATACTACTGTACTGTACAGGGCTGATTGGTCTGGTTACACTGCATGGCTCTATCCCAAATGGCACCCTATTCCTTATATAGTGCACTACTTTTGACCAAGGCCCACAGGGTGCCATTTGGGATGCAGCCATGGAGTAATTCACTGTGCAAACATTACATTAGTACCACCCTGGTCTGGTCTGGTCTGGTCTGTCAACAGTCATTCTAAAAATGGGAACACATTGCCCTCTACTAGGAGAGAGGTAGGGAGAGGGTTGGTGGAGGGAGAGGAGGGGGGAGGGAGAGAGGAAAGAGACAAATAAGGGTCGTCAGAGTGTGACAGAAGAGAAAGACCGATCGAAGGAGGGCAAGACAAAGTAGTGTAGGGGAGAAAAAGGGCAAAAAAAGAGAGCCAGGGAGCGCAACATAGCTGCACAGACAGCTGCCACCTCCCATCCCTTCTTATCCTCCCACCACAGAACAAAAGTGAGGGAGAGAGAAAAAAAAAAGGAGGAATAATATTTGTTTACGAAGTGGGGTCTAGCTTCTGGACATTGTGCTGACATAGCTTTGCATCCCAAATGGCACCCTATTCCCTATAGTGCCCTGGTCAAAAGTAGTGCACTATAGGGAATAGGGTGCCATCTGGGACGTAGTCATGAGCCACATTCATAAAGTAAGAACTTCCTGCTTTGCAAGCAGGAAACAGAAGGGAAGGATCAGAGAAACCTAGCACACTCAGAGAGAGAGCGAGGAGGGAGGGCGGGAGAGAGAAGGAACGAATCTGAAATAATCAGAAAACTAGCCCACTCACCAGAACATACAGAGCAGAGTGCAGGAAAGAAAGAAAGACAGTTCATTTTACGAAGAAAGAGGAGTTAATAACCGTTAAGCTAAGTGTTTGGAGAGGCTGAGATGGGGAGAATGGAAGGAGTAGAGGACAGATGAGGGAAAGAGATGAAGAGAGGAGAACAGATGGAAAGGTAGCACCTCAGTGCCTCCAAAGAGATGGATTGTCTGTGTAGAGTGTGGGATGGAGTGAATGACAAATGGATGAGTGACAGGCAGATGGGAATGGAATGAGATGGCAAACTATGCACAGAGAGAGAAAGAGATGAGTTACAAACAGATGGAATAGAGTGGAGTGAGATGGCCACCTTGAACTTCCTACTGAAGGCTTTAAAACACACACAAACTGAAACTGTGGTAGTAGAAACCCCAGGCCTAAAGCTGTAGCTAAGGATTAGCTGGCCCATAGCAAAACCCAGCCAGAAACCTAAACCAGGGCAGGTATCCACAAAGCATCTCAGCGTAGGAGTGCTTATCTAGGATCTGTCCATATAATTGCATTAATTATGATCTAAAAGGAAAAACTACGACGCTTTGTGGATACAGGCCCAGATGTGAAAAGGTTGATTTACTTACCAGCCATTAGCAAAACCAAATCAGAAATCTGACCCAGCACTAAAAGTAGTTGATTATATTTGTTATAGAGGAGCAGTAAGCTAAGCCAGAGGTTGTTTAGTAGGTTTATTTAGGGTTGGTATTGTTGTGTTGTGTGTGTCCCAAATGGCACCCTATTCCCCATCTAGTGCCCTATGGGCCCTGGTCTAAAGTAGTGCACTATAAAGGGAATAGATTGCCATTTGGGACGTAGCCGTTGTGTGTCTTTACCATCGGTGGCAGGCTGTACGTTGTTATTGGCCTGTCCTCTAGCCCTGCCCCCGAAAACAGCGTCAAAATCTACACTCATGGAGGACTCAGCTGGCTCAGCAGCACCTAGGAGACAAAGGTCATAAGGGCTACATATTACTATTGTAAAGGTTCTCTTCAACCTCTGGGTTGGTTGGTATCTGTGTCTGTCGAACCATATGTTCTCTAAAATAATGTTTATTGGACAAAATGTTCAACATAATATTGTAACCGTTTCAGTGTTTCTAGCGGATGAGAAAGTGATGGCTGAATGAATGGACAATAAGTGGATGAAACAAGTGAATGGATGGATGAATGAATGACCACATTAATGACTGAATACATGAATAGAGTGAACTCCAATACACAGGAAATGAATTTTTACATTCTTACAGTTGAAAAGCACCCTGACTTTAAAGACAGAGATAAAATACCTTGAGTCTAAAGTTAAAGGTTTGTCAGAAGACAGCCTGAACAACCGTTTTTACATGTGTTGTGTGTGACATAACTTAAACTTGTGTAGTGTGTGACATAATACACAGCTAATCAACATTATACATCTCTGCCCCTGATCTGAACCGGAAGTTCAGGAGGTTAAGTGAACAAAAACAAACAACGGAAACTGTATGTGAGTGTGTGTGTGTATATCCATGTGTATATTGTGTGCATGCATGTGTGTGTGTCCAAATGTGTGTGTGACCTACCTCCACAGGCACTGGTGGCTGTAGAGATAGAGGGAGTGCTCTGGACAGCAGGTAGGAAGGCTGGCTGCAGGTCAAAGAGATCACTACTGAGGTTGGGCATGCTAGAGAGAGAGAGAAAGAAGAGAGGAGATAGGGAAGAGGGAGGGAGAGAGAAAGAAAATCAATGAGTAAATAAATGTGATTTCAATTGCCCCTCTATGCACAAACAATCAATATCTTCAAAACAATTAAAGAGATAGTTCAGGTGAAACTTATATTTCGGTGGATTTACCCTTAACTTGTGTTGTGTATTAAGGCCCATAGTGACAGAATCCACAATAATGAATGTTTTACTTCCGCCACAGCCAGGAGTTAGCGTATTAGCATCATCACAATTCATGAATGTAAACAACCGAACCGATGTTAGCAAAGCTGCACAGCAAGCAGTAACTTGCTCAAAAACACTTAAAAACCAAATTTGGTAGTTGGAGTTTTCACAATTTTCAATATATTCTGTCTAGTTGATTTGATCATACTATGATCCTAATATATTAGGTACTAAGAACTGTGGTTGTTGTTGTTGTTGTCACTACCAATTGACTGTTATATACTAGTTTTACCTATTATTAATTATGTTATAACATACCTATTACCTGTTATAACATGTAATAACAGTAGGAATACCTGTTGGTGTTGTGGAAGTTGTTGCTGTTGGCACTGCCCATAGACTGTTATAACAACCTTTATAACCCTATATAACCTCCTATGACCTGTCGTAACCATGTCATAACAGCAGTACCTGTTGGTGGAGGGTGCGCTGAATAGCTCCATGCCTTGATTGGTGTTGTGGTGGTTGTTGTTGACACTGCCCATAGACTGTGAACTGGGGGAGGCAGATGGAGGAGTGGACATGCCAATCTCCTTCAGACGCTGGTCCTGGAGAAACACAGAAAAACACTCACACAGTTACCAAACCCTTCTCAAACATTACAATACTGCTTTCATATTGAGTAAGAGTTGGCTAGCGTTACATAATATGTTTTCACCTCACACAGTTTAAAGAATGCAGTAGGTAGGTACGTAGGTAGGTAGGTGGGGACCAAGTAATTTACTGAGTCAGTGCTCCAAGGCACACACACAAACCTTGAGCAGAAATGTCAAAACATTTCTGCTTTTTCTGCAGGACTATTCGCTAGCTAGACTGTAACTCTCTGATACATTGGCCTTTCATGACCCATGAAATTAAACTCAGACAAATGCACACACAGCGGTCATATCAATCAAGCACAAAACGACCCAGAACCCAGAACCTGCGGTGCCCAGGAAGTTGTTTTACTTTTCCCCACTGCCTCGTAATAACAGCTTGAGTATGTGAAACGTTCAGCGATATTATGGCAAGAACAGCTCAAATAAGCAAAGAGAAAACGACAGTCCATCATTACTTTAAGACATGAATGTCAGCCAATACGGAACATTTCAAGAACTTTGAAAGTTTCTTCAAGTGCAGTCGCAAAAACCATCAAGTGCTATGATGAAACTGGCTCTCATGAGGACCGCCACAGGAACGGAAGACTGAGTTACCTCTGCTGCAGAGGATAAGTTAATTAGAGTTACCAGCCTCAGAAATTGCAGCCCAAATAAATGCTTCACAGAGTTCAAGTAACACACATCTCAACATCAACTGTTCAGAGGAGACCGTGTGAATCAGTACACAATTGAATAATACAGAGACCGTGTGAATAGTACACAATTGTACTATTATGTGTGTTTTTCCGCGTTATTTGTAATTTATTTTGTACATAATGTTTCTGCCATCGTCTCTTATAACCAAAGAGAGCTTCTGGATATCAGGACAGCGATTACTCACCTCGCGTTGGACGAACACTTTTTCTTCAACGAGGCGTTCGAAGGATATTCTACAGACTCCCGACAAGGCCCAGATCCCCGTCATTCGCGTGAGGAAGAGACGGAGATATCGTGGACGCAGATCCGGGTGCCTTGTAAGGATCCGACGGCGAACGAGTAAACTGCCTCTCCCATCAATCCTATTAGCCAACGTTCAAGCTTTGGAGAATAAAATGGACGATTTAAGAGTACGGTTATCCTACCAACGGGACATTAAAAACTGTAATATCTTATGTTTCACGGAGTCGTGGCTGAACGACAACAATGACAACATTCAGCTAGCAGGCTATACGCTACATCGGCAGGACAGAACGGCAGACTCGGGTAAGACGAGGGGTGGCGGTCTCTGTATATTTGTAAACAACAGCTGGTGCACAAAATCAAATACTAAGGAAGTCTCAAGGTTTTGCTCGCCTGAGGTAGAGTATCTTATGATAAGCTGTAGACCACACTATTTACCAAGAGAGTTTTCATCTATATTTTTCATAGCTGTCTATTTACCACCACAAACCAATGCTGGCATTAAGATTGCACTGAATGAGTTGTACAAGGCCATTAATCAACAGGAAAACGCTCATCCAGATGCAGCGCTCCTAGTAGCAGGGGACTTTAATGCAGGGAAACTTAAATCCGTTCTACCTCATTTCTACCAGCATGTTAAATGTGCAACCAGAGGGGAAAAAACTCTAGACCACCTTTACTCCACACACAGAGACGCATACAAAGCTCTCCCTCGCCCTCCATTTGGCAAATCTGACCATAACTCTATCCTCCTGATTCCTGCTTATAAGCAAAAACTGAAGCAGGAAGCACCAGTGATTCGGCTAATAAAAAAGTGGTCAGATGACGCAGATGCTAAGCTACAGGACTGTTTTGCTAGCACAGACTGGAACATGTTCCGGGATTCTTCAGACAGCATTGAGGAGTACACCACATCAGTCACTGGCTTCATCAATAAGTGCATCGATGATGTCGTCCCCACAGTGACCGTACGTACATACCCCAACCAGAAGCCATGGATTACAGGAAACATCCGCACTGAGCTAAAGGGTAGAGCTGCCGCTTTCAAGGAACGGGACTCTAACCCGGACGCTTATAAGAAATCCCGCTATGACCTCCGACGAACCATCAAACAGGCAAAGAGTCAATACAGGTCTAAGATTGAATCATACTACACTGGCTCTGACGCTCGTCGGATGTGGCAGGGCTTGAAAACTATTACAGACTACAAAGGGAAGCACAGCCGCGAGCTGCCCAGTGACACAAGCCTACCAGACGAGCTAAACCACTTCTATGCTCGCTTCGAGGCAAGCAACACTGAAGCATGCATGAGAGCACCAGCTGTTCCGGACGACTATGTGATCACGCTCTCCGTAGCCGATGTGAGTAAGACTTTTAAGCAGGTCAACATTCACAAGGCCGCAGGGCCAGACGGATTACCAGGACGTGTACTCCGAGCATGTGCTGACCAACTGGCAAGTGTCTTCACTGACATTTTCAACATGTCCCTGACTGAGTCTGTAATACCAACATGTTTCAAGCAGACCACCATAGTCCCCGTGCCCAAGAACTCTAAGATAACCTGCCTAAATGACTACCGACCCGTAGCACTGACGTCTGTAGCCATGAAGTGCTTTGAAAGACTGGTCATGGCTCACATCAACAGCATAATCCCAGAAACCCTAGACCCACTCCAATTTGCATACCGCCCCAACAGATCCACAGATGATGCAATCTCTATCGCACTCCACACTGCCCTTTCCCACCTGGACAAGAGGAACACCTACGTGAGAATGCTATTCATTGACTACAGCTCAGCATTCAACACCATAGTGCCCTCAAAGCTCATCACTAAGCTAAGGATCCTGGGACTAAACACCTCCCTCTGCAACTGGATCCTGGACTTCCTGACGGGCCGCCCCCAGGTGGTAAGGGTAGGTAACAACACATCTGCCACACTGATCCTCAACACGGGGGCCACTCAGGGGTGCGTGCTCAGTCCCCTCCTGTACTCTCTGTTCACCCATGACTGCATGGCCAGGCACGACTCCAACACCATCATTAAGTTTGCCGACGACACAACAGTGGTAGGCCTGATCACCGACAACGATGAGACAGCCTATAGGGAGGAGGTCAGAGATCTGGCCGTGTGGTGCCAGGACAACAACCTCTCCCTCAACGTGACCAAGACAAAGGAGATGATTGTGGACTACAGGAAAAAAAAGAGGACTGAGCACGCCCCCATTCTCATCGACGGGGCTGTAGTGGAACAGGTTGAGAGCTTCAAGTTCCTTGGTGTCCACATCACCAACGAACTATCATGGTCCAAACACACCAAGACAGTCGTGAAGAGGGCACGACAAAGCCTATTCCCCCTCAGGAGACTAAAAAGATTTGGCATGGGTCCTCAGATCCTCAAAAAATTCTACAGCTGCACCATCGAGAGCATCCTGACTGGTGATCACCACTGGTATGGCAATGCTGGCCTTGACGCAAGGCACTCAAGGGTAGGCGTACGGCCAGTATACTGGGGCAAAGCTCCCTTCATCAGGAATACCAGGCGGGTGATAGAGGACCCTCAAAATGTCAAAGACTCCAGTCACCTAGTCATAGACTGTTCTTTGCGACGCACGCAAGCGGTAGGAGTGCAACTAGTCAAAGACTTCAAAGCTTTACCCCAAGCATAAGACTCCTGAACAGCTAATCATGGTACGGAATTGCATGCCCCCCAACATGTTACGTGCTCTACTGTTAGGATTATCAAGTCATGGAGATTTTTGATTCCAACCGCCGTGTCTTTGTGAGACGCGTGTGGGTGAACGGATGATCTCCGCATGTGTATTTCCCACCATAAAGCATGGAGGAGGTGGTGTTATGGTGCTTTGCTGGTGACACTGTCAGTGATTTATTTAGAATTTAAGGCAGACCAGCATAGCTACCACAGCATTCTGCAGCGATACGCCATCCCATCTGGTTTGGTCTTAGTGGGAATATCATTTGTTTTTCAACAGGACAATGACCCAACACACCTCCAGGCTGTGTAAGGGCTATTTGACCAAGAAGGAGAGTGATGAGTGCTGCACAATCCCCTGATCTCAACCAAACTGAGATGGTTTGGGATGAGTCGGACTGCAGAGTGAAGGAAAAGCAGCCAACAAGTGCTCAGCATATGTGGGAACTCCTTCAAGACTGTTGGAAAAGCATTCCAGGTGAAGCTGGTTGAGAGAATGCCAAGAGCGTGCAAAGATGTCATCAAGGCAAAGGGTGGCTATTTGAAGAATCTCAAATATAAAGTATATTTTGATTTGTTTAACACTTTTTTAGTTACTACATGATTCCATGTGTGTTATTTCATAGTTTTGATGTCTTCACTATTATTCTACAATGTAAAAAATAGTAAAAATAAAGAAAATCCCTTGAATGAGTAGGTGTGTGCAAACTTTTGACTGGTACTGTACTCAGTTTGTAAAGTGGTGTAATTTCTCACATAAAGCTGAGACATAAAAACGGTGTTTTCCGCAATTACATTCGAAAATGTTGCTAAACTATCAGTATGCTTGCGCTTCTCTCCCCCCACGCCACGGGGGTAGTGGGAGTGAGAGCCAGAAGCGAAACGGCAGATACTTTCATTGCAGGAAGCAGGTTAATGCACATTACTGTTGACCAAATAATGATTTTCTAACCCAGAAAAATCAGCAGGAACATTGTGTAGCCTAATCACCAAAATGTATTTGGTAAGAGGGCAATGTCGGTGTCAGTAAATGTCAGTTTATCGTCCCAACTCTAGTTAGTGTTGTTGTCTATCAAATTATAGGCTGCCTTGCGCTTTCCTCTGGCAATGGTCCGAACCACACTGGCACACGCACATTACGTATACACACAGAGGCGCACATATGGTTGAATAGCTCTCCAACATCTTGCAAATGTGCCTAGAGTATTGTTTGATGTTCAATAGTTTTAAATTTTTTGTCTGGGTAGCAACAATTAAGCACAATATAACGGAAACACTTTAGTCATCACCGTCACATTTTGTAAGACCTTTGAAAACTGAACTTAAGACATTTAAAGATTTAAATCAGAAATTAATGTAAGACCTTTTAAGGGCACGTGGACACCCTGTTTTCAGGCAGTTAAATCTGAATATGAAGGGTGTTGTGTCATTTTGTGTAGAAGTGTAATTTGTTGTAACGATGTAGTAACATATTTAACTCCCCCTGTCCACCAGTGTAGTGGTGGTTAGGGTAGCTGTGTAAAATTATGCATCGGTGTAGTATCATTTTATGTATTAGTGTAATGGTGTGTTACCTGTACCTTGAGGGCCTGCAGTCTGGCCTGCTCCTCCTCTAGGGCCTGCTGTCTCTCCTTCTCGTCCATGCGGCTGAAGGACATGCCTGTACTGGACAGAGACGACACCGCACTGGACAGGGTGGATGCTCTATGGTGGGGGCAGAGAATTGTAGAGAGGTTATAGGAGAGTTGTGTGTAGGTGTGTGACACCGAGTTGGACAGAGGCGAGGAGTGGACAGAGGCGAGAAGAGAGGTATTAGGAGGAGACAAGTTTTACAGTAAGATAACTAGGTGTGCTACTTTAACAGTTTTTACGGTAAAGTATATCACCAAGTGTTAGTTGTGTCTAGCCAGTCCAGTACCTGGTATCAGCGGTGAGTTCCTTGGTCTTCTTCCCCTCCAGAGAGGCTAGGTGCTGCTCCAGAGCCTCCAGGAGACTACTAGGAGCCTGGAAGGAGGAGAGGGGGAGAAATAGATGAGGGGAGGGGGGTGAGAGACAGAACCAGCTCTTCCTCTCTTTCATATGACATGACGCACTCATTCACCTCTTTACACGGCACACACATTGATAAACACACGCACGCACACACATTGATAAACACACGCACGCACACACATTGATAAACACACGCACACATGGTTGTTAGTCCCAGAGGTCGACCCACAATGAATCACTTTCCCAGAATAGAACAACTAAGTCTTCGGCCCAAATGGCACCCTATTCCCTTCGTAGTGCACTACATTTGACAAGGGCCCATAGGGCACTATATAGGGAATAGGGCGCTCAGTATTAGTAGGTTAATAATAACACGTTTTGGGAAACAGAAAAACGAGGAGAGAACGGAATAGAGGAGTGGAAGGAACGGAGTAGAGGTTGTTGAGAAACATGCAGACACATCACATTCTGTCCTGTCTGGTTCATACCAACATCTAAACAACATCCTGAGAGGGCATAGCCTAGTTGGGCAAGGCTGGTGCTCTGCCTTTTACTAAGGGTACGTCCCAAATGGCACCCTACGCACAAGTAGTGCACTATAGAGAGAGAGTCGGGTGCCATTTGAGACACATTCCAAGAGAAAATTCATTCAAATGGGAGGTTGCGTACCAAATGGCACCTTATTCCCTGTGTAGTGCATCACTTTTGACTGGAGCCCTATGTGACATCAACGTGACAGATCTATGGGGCTGTTGTCAAAAGTAGACCATCTTTAGATTGTTTAGAAACCAAATCAGACGTCAATAATATTAGCACAGACACACACACTATTCTATTCCCTCTTACAAAAAAAGCACAGAAGTTAGAACAGACTGAGCACAGAACTCTGACTGAACCCTGTACGTATTCCCCAAACATTCCACCAGACACACAGAGAGGAAAGAAAGCGAGAGAGAGAACAAAGGAGCAAAGTAATAGAAAAGGGGGGAATAGTTTTTTTTCCTTTTTGATCACTAGTCTTCCCCCGACAATCTTTCAAGATGTTTCAAAACCAGATCTGTTACGTTTGAAGAAAGAAATCTTTTGATTCCATAGCTACGACTATGATGATGCGTTAATGCATAGCATACATATACATTCATGTAATAATCAGGGGGTCAAATATAGTTTAAATGAATACGTCAAAAATCCCTAAAATGCTTTCTTTATCATAGGCCTATGTCTGAATGGTGGGAGGAGGAGAGGATACGTTTCCCATAATTCATTCATATGGTTGACCTTTTTCGCCACTCGGGGCCAAAGTGTGTCTGTCTACATGTGTGCACGTGCGTGTAAGAGGGGGCAAGGCTACATGCGTGCATGTGAGGGGGCGAAGGCTACATGCAAACCCAGGTGGGTAGGTCAAAATGCCAGAGAGCACAAGCTATGGTGAGTCAACAATTTGTAACTCAGTATATACTGTATGGGGAGGGGAGATGCAGTATAATAGTTTCAAGTTTGAATATCACGTGCACTAGTACAGTGAAATGTCTTTAGGGGGAGGGATGCTAGGGTTAAGAGCATTACAATAAGTAACCCACCACCTACAATGCATGATCCTTTAATGGTCTGTGGAGGAGAATGATAAAGGAACTATTTTAAATGGTATACTGGGAATGGGAATTATGTTTAATTCAAAATCCAATATTTAATTTCGCATCACTATCGAGCTTGATGCCTTAAGTTATTGGTATTTATATAGCCAGTAAAGTACTTTCTTTACAAGTGCCTATTTGGGCCTACATTGTCAATACTCCATTGAAAAATAAATACTAAATCGATTGAACCAACAGATTCCTAGGGAAAGTAGAAGACGAAGTTAGAAGACATGGTTACTTGTTAAGAGTTTGACAAAGAGAAAGATGAGTGAATGATTTAGTGAGTACAGAGAAAAGAGCGAGAGCAAGTGAGAGGAGGAGAGAGGGAGTGAATATGTACAGTAAGAAAGAGGCTGACGGCTGTAACATGAATGAATGGATGGATAGACAGATGAATCAATGGAGGGATGAAAGCATGTAGGTGGAGCCAGAAGAGAGAAAGAGATGGAAATGTACACTGACCTGTGAGAGATCGGGGATATCGCCCTGATCTATTCCAACTTGCTGTTGTCACAAACACCCAACGGAAAACAAACAAACGGGCCAACGGAAAAAACAACAGGGGGATAAGAAAAAAATAAAATAAATAAAAGGAATCATTACTTCCATGCAGTGACTACTGTGGGTGCGTCCCAATAACCTCTCCTTCTTCCTGAAGTGTGCACTCGTACACCACTCCACAAAAATGTATACGCATTAGATTGGTGTAGGCATGGGCTGAAGCGCGTTTCCATATACCAGTCATTTCCCTTCAAATCCATGAAGGGAATCCAACAAGTGCACACTTCGTGAGAAAGAAGAGATTATTGGGACGCACCCTCTGTACACAACGTAAACACAACGGAAATAAACAAGGGTCTCCATCAAACATGCTGACAACTGGATCGATGAATATGATTGGACAATGTTGAGTGTCTTGTGATTGACCAATGAGAGACGAGACATGGTGTGGGTGTGGCAAATGAATGGTGAGCAATTGAACAGACATTTAAAAAGCCCAAAAACAACATTGAAATAATGTGAGGCTGGAGCCCAAAACAACATTGGAACAGTGAAAGTTTACACACCCATTGCACAGGCTTAATATTAAATGAAAAAATGTATTAAATTGGATTACTCCACATTTTCAAAGTGAAAGAAATATTATCGAACATTTTCCAATTTAATACAAAATTAGATGTATTGATTGCTTGGTGGATGCACCTTTGGCAGCCATTACAGCTGTGAATAAGTTTGAATAAGTTTCTACCAACTTTGCACAACTGTTAGGGCATCATATATCCATTGATTTTGTCATAATTGCAAATGCTCAGTAAATTTGGTTGAGAATCTGATGGACAGCAATCTTTAAACCTTGTCTCTGATTTACAAGTACATTTAAATCAGGACCGAGACTGTGTGTGTGAGTATAGAGAGAGAGAGGGTGGGTGTGTGTGCCTGTATGATGTCTATGTTTATGTGTGTGGGTGAGATTATGTAATACAAGATATAATCAAGAAGCATAACTATTCAAATCATTTCATTCAGTTTCATTGGCTCCAAGTGCCAGGAAAGTTTCCAACATATATTTAGGGAAACACATTAGCATGCATGATGCCCTGTGTCACATAGCAACATTCCAGCACGAGTCGATATGACAAAAACAACCTACAGACAACTTCCTCATACATGATTTCATCTTTGTCTAAGAATGCTACACGTGACATAAAAATATAATAGGGTATGTCCCGGCAGGCTATGTGTTTTGACTTGCCTTAAAAGGGCAAAAAAGAGATACAAGTAAATAAGTTAAAGTATGTACACTGAGTATACCAAACATTAGGAACACCTTCCTAATATTAAGTTGCGCACCCACCCACAGTTGTGTCAAGTTGTCTGGATGTCCTTTGGGTGGTGGACCATTCTTGATACACACGGGAAACTGTTGAGCGTGTGTGTCCGCGTGCATGCAGGTGTGTGTACCTCTGCTACTTTGAGAAACTCTGACAGCTTGGTCATCCTGTAGAGGAACTTCTTATAGATGTCCAATGCGTCTTTACACTGACCCTTCTTCATATCAAAATATTTCTCTGAGAGAGAGAAAGTGACAGAGAGAAAGTGTGAGAGAGAGCGAAAGAGAATGCGAGAAAAGGACAGAGAATGAGTGAGAAGAGGAGAGTACAAAGAAGCCATTAGTAGAGAGTGATAGGAGACAGAGGAACACTTAGCACTTCAAAAATACATCTCAACCTGTCAAAAGACACTCAGCCACAGCCGCCTATAAAAACACTGTACAGGGCATTCACTGTCTGAGGCTAACATCACATAATTAATCATATCAAATTGATACAAGAACCTTGTGCTATGCCCTGGAAGAACCCACATAATATGAATAGGATAACACCCATAGAATTAGAATGAACCATTCTATTATACTATGATAATACCCACCAGTCCCAATAGTCCTGACCCAGGAGGTTGGAGGATCTAAATCTGATTCTAGACCAGTCCTTACCCAGTAGGTTGATGACGCCCTCGTTGTAGGCAGCAAACAGACGGATGGAGTCCTTGAACAGCAGCATAAAGGCTGAGTTGATCACCCCGTTAGTTAACTCATTAGGGTTGGCCTGGACAGAGGGTGGAAGAGAGGCATTTAAAAAAAAATAATCTCAACCTCTAAAGAACATCAATAACTTAAACATTTCATCTCACACCTGACACCCATGTCCACCATTGGAAACGCACACATTCCATTGAATACACACACGCCTCCTCTATACGCACAAACACACACACACCCTGTTACCTGGAAGTCTAGCAGTGCGTCTAGTTGGTTCTGGATTATAGGAAGGGTCTTTATGAGCTTCTCTATGTTCATGGTACGCATCACACCGTCAATCCTGGAACATACACACACACCAACATTTTTTACTTAGTCTTTCTCTTTCTAGAATAAAAAACTGGATTAGCTGGTTCTGACGGGTTGCTAAGGAATATTTTACCCGAATCACACTATAGAACCAACCTGAAACGTCCTAAGCTGCTTGGATACTTTCTTTTCACATTTTCCTTTCCAGCACGTTCCAGGAACTATGGTGGTTGTGGAACCAGGCCAGCCCAGGACAGTGTGAAATACAGTACCAGTCAAAAGTTCTTTATTTTTACATTGTAGAATAATAGTGAAGACATCAAAACTATGAAATAACACATATGGAATCATGTAGTAACCAAAAAAGTGTTAAACAAATTTCAATCCTCTCCTCCATTTCAATTAACAGGTTTGCCTTCTTAAAAGTTAATTTGTGGAATTGATTTCCTTCTTAATGCGTTTGAGCCAATCAGTTGTGTTGTGACAAGGTAGGGGGGTATACAGAAGATAGCCCTATTTGGTAAAAGACCAAGTCCATATTATGGCAAGAACAGCTCAAATAAGCAAAGAGAAACGACAGTCCATCATTACTTTAAGACATGAAGGTCATTTCAAGAACTTTGAAAGTTTCTTCAAGTGCAGTCGCTAAAACTATCAAGCTCTATGATGAAACTGGCTCTCATGAGGACTGACACAGGAATGGAAGACCCAGAGTTACCTCAGCTGCAGAGGATAAGTTCATTAGAGTTACCAGCCTCAGAAATTGCAGCCCAAATAAATGCTTCACAGAGTTCAACTAACAGACATCTCAACATCAACTGTTCAGAGGGGACTGTGTGAATCAGGCCTTCATGGTCGAATTGCTGCAAAGAAACCACTACTAAAGGACACCAATAAGAAGAAGAGACTTGCTTGGGCCAAGAAACACGAGCAATGGACATTAGACCGATGGAAATTTGTCCAAATGTGAGATTTTTGGTTCCAACCGCCGTGTCTTTGTGAGATGCGGTGTGGGTGAACGGATGATCCCCGCATGTGTATTTCCCACCATAAAGAATCGAGGAGGTGGTGTGATGGTGTGGGTGTACTTTGCTGGTGACACTGTCAGTGATTTATTTCGAATTCAAGGCACACTTAACCAGCATGGCTACCACAGCATTCTGCAGCGATACGCCATCCCATCTGGTTTGGGCTTAGTGGGACTATAATTTGTTTTTCAACAGGACAATGACCCAACACCTCCAGGCTGTGTAAGGCTTATTTTACCAAGAAGGAAAGTTTTGATGTGTTCACTATTATTCTACAATGTAAAAAAATAGTACAAATAAAGAAAACCTTTGACTGGTACTGTAGACTAGATGTATGAAATATTGTGCATCCTACCCTCTCTTCATCTTGGTAAAGTCCACAGCCACCAGCCTGTAAGACATGGCCTTCTCATTCAGATAGCGGCTGTACCGACGGATGAATGTAGACATGTCATAACCTGGGAGGGAGAGAAAGGAAGGAGAGAGAGAGAGAGACGAGACTTTGAACCATCCTCATTTGACAAAAAACACCACAGAACCCCCCCCCCCCCCCCCCAGTAAAACCTTCCCCCACCCCACTAAAAACAAAAGGAGAGAATCTGAGACCAAAGCAGTGTGTGTCTAATCATGCGCTAGTATTGTATGAGTTTGTTTTAAGATATACCATACCTTGCAAAGCACCTTTGTCCAAGAAGTTGTTCAAGTTGAAGAGGGTGTTTCTAGAGGCCAGGTACTGGATGAGACGCTGAGGAGAGAAAAACAGAGAGAAAGAATGGAAGAAAAAATTAAAAGATAAGCCATAAGTCTCAGGTCAGATAAATAAGCAATTCCTGACTAAACAGGGTCGGAATAATCCCATACACTGCCCCAAATGGCACCCTATTCCCCATGTAGTGCGCTAATTTTGACCAGGGCCCCATAGGGCTCTTGCTAAAAGTAGTGCACTATATAGGGAACAGGGTACAATTTGGGATAAATCCCATCTTGTGTAATATCAACATGGTCTAGATTCAATTGGCAGGGATGAGGGACCCACACACAAACACTCTGTCTGGCCTCTTCCTCAGTGATGGGAATTCCCAGAAAGAGGAGCGTTCTGCTGAGACATCAGCAGGCCTGAACGTGGACATTCCTGGCTGACGATCCCCATCTAGGCTGGTGTTCCCAGTTCTAACGGAGCATCTCAGAATGCGGGGGATTCACGCTACGCTAGCTGACACGCTTTCCATTATCTGTCACACTGCCGTGACAGAGAGAGCACACATACTAAAAAAAAACAGACACCCCACACACACACACAACTAGCAGGCTTTCTTGTGTTCTCCCACTTAGGAGTCAAGAGAAGAAATCGAGAGAGAAAAACTCAATTTACTTTTAGAAAGAGGAAGGGGGAAACAATGTCTTGGTGATTTGGAACTCTCCGAAGAAAACATTAAATGAAGGAAGGAAAACTAACATCCATCATATTCTCTCTTCAGCATTTCTCAGGGTAGGGAGGAAGAGCAGTTGTCATGATTATTTTTTTAAGGACTGGTTTAAGAGCCAATAAAATGTGCTCTGCAGATTGTATGTGTGTGTGTGTGTGTGGCTGGCTAAGCATTTGGCCAGCGGCAAAGTTAACTTTTAAAGTATTGGGCCAGGCAGTTCAACTTCTTAACCCCCTTCTGCATCCCAAATGGCACCCTATTCCCTATTAAGTGCAATACTTTTGACCAGAGCTCATAGGGTGCCATTTGGGACGTACACCTGAGTGGTTGTTTTTGGGGACATTTGGTCTCTATATTGCAGTGGAGAATGTGGCGTGTGTCAAACAAGGCTAAAACAGGTCAGTTCACACAGACAAACAGGCAGAGAGAGAGAGCGAGCGAGTGAGCGAGAAAAAGAGCGAGAGCAAGATAGATCGAGAGTAGAGCCCGACCGATATTGTCGGCTCACCGATACTAAATCGGCCGATATTGGCCTTCTAATGCTATATCGTATCAGCCGATAACTCTACCGATATAAAAAGGGAATCTCATGCTTATCTGAACTCTTGCAGCCATTCTCATGATGTGTCATTATTGTCACAATGTATGAATAGTTATTGGACAATTGCTTTTGGATGGCAATTTCTGAGAATTCAGTGTGGAAAAATGACACTCATTTACCGCTGTAAGAGCACAGAGTGTACAAAACATTAAGAACACCTTCCCCCCCCCTTTTGCCCTCAGACCAACCTCAATTTGTCGGAGCATGAACTCTACAGTGTCGAAAGCGTTCCACAAGGATGCTGGCCCATATTGACTCCAACGCTTCCCACAGTTGAGTCAAGTTGGCTGGGATGTCCTTTGGTTGGTGGACCATTCTTGATACACATGGGAAACTGTTAAGTGCAAAAATCCCAGCAGCGTTCCAGTTCTTGACACAAACCGGTGTGCCTTGCACCTACTACCATACCCCTGTTCAAAGGCACTTCAATCTTTTGTCTTGCCCATTCACCCTCTGAATGGCACACATACACAGTCCATGTCTCAATTATCTCAAGGCTTAAAAATTATTCTTTACCCAGTCTCCTCCCCTTCATTTACACAGATTTAAGTGGATTTAACAGGTGACATCAGTAAGGGATTATAGCTTTCACCTGGATTTGCTGCTCCCAAAAAACATCAATTGGGCTCAGAGAGAGAGAGCAAGAGCGAGAGGAAAGAGAGACAGAGTACAGCAGGACCACACAGACTTGCTTATTACACACAATAGGCCAGACCATGAGAGCATTCATTTACTCATATCAAATGGGTTGAATAGTTCCAAATTAAATCAAGACGACTTGAATATAGGAAATCAGAGTAAAGTTGAGACATGAGAACATGCATGTACTGCCATAGACTGCAGATAAAGATGGATTCAGAGGAGAGGAGAAACAAGCTGAGCAGCAGTCTGCTAGCCCATCAAATAATTAATGTTAGCATAACGGTCGACTATGTCAGAGAAAAACCCCATCTATTATTAATAAATCTACTGAATCTTCACTGAGAAAGCTCTAAAGCTCCTCCAAACTGTCTTTCTCTAGCTCTCCTCCAACCACACTCTCACTCTGTCCATCTCCCACTGTTTGTCTCTTGGGGTAAATCCCCAAACTTGAGGGTCTTCTTTGCTTCCTCCCTACCCCTGTGTCCTTTTCACACCCCTACACATACAAGTTAGTGAGACTCAAAAGGCATTGCATTGGCTGCTTACATTTACGTCATTTAGCAGACGCTCTTATCCAGAGCGACTTACAGTTAGTGCATACATGTTGTTTTTTTGGTTTTTTTTTATACTGGCCCCCCGTGGGAAACGAACCCACAACCCTGGCGTTGCAAACGCAATGCTTTAACAACTGAGCTACCCCTCCCTGCCGGCCATTCCCTCCCCTACCCTAGACGACGCTGGGCCAATTGTGCGCCGCCCCAGAGATAGTGTAAAAGAGATGGAGGAAAAAAGAGTGGGGTAGATCTAAAGAAAAAAGAGGGAAACAGAGTGGTGGTAGAGAGTGAGACGGAGGGTGCGGGTAGGGAAAGAGATGGACAGCTTTTATAAATAATTTGTTCACCGGACGGTGCGACAAGGTGTGTGTGTGTGTGTGTGTAGTAGTGACAGGGGAGTAATGGTGCGTGGGCTCCTGCTGTCACAAAGCAGAACTACCGTTGATCTGTACGACGACAAACAGCCTCACACGTTGGTAGATGGATCTGTACAAGAGGGTAAATGATGCAGCCAAACATTATGACTCACCGTTTGTGATGCTGATTTACACCACTACACACCTTTATCTACCCCCCTATAGAATACCAAGCAACGGCCCATTTACTCTTGAATAATTACTCTGTAGCAAAGAGAGCCACCTATAGAAATGGTGAGAGGGAGCAAACCGTGCCGATAGGATATGTAGTGCAATTCTCACGATTCTCGATGTATTGCGATTCGATACTGTGATTTTATTGCGATTCGATGTTCCAAACATATTGCTCACCATGTCTGCTGCAGAGGGACAAGAGAGAGCCATGAGAAAAGTTTTGATCAGTCATGGAAATAAGTGCTGAAAGAATGTTGGCTCACCATTTAAAAAGAAGATGGAGAACAAGCTAGAGAAGGAGAAATACTGGAGTTATGGCGCAGGTACAGACGACTAGCGCTAGCTAACATTAACTACCTAGCAAAAAAAATGTGGGCCCCCCCATCACTAGTGAAAGTGCTGTGAGTGTGTGGGGAAACCAAATGTACTCCCCTCACATAACTAATCGAAATATCTGTATGCAGGAACCTAGTGCTGGAATACAGCGCTGCACTTTTGACTTCTACAACTTGCAGAACAACACTAATCAAAAGTCTCCACTGTATGTGCGTGGACCTCCTGCTGGGCCGAGCTAGCCTGGAGCCTAAAGGCATCCACATGCTTCCCAGCAGAAACAGTTTGGTAGAGTTTGTGCATATATTATAGTGACATTGTGACGTTTTTGTTCGTTTTGGACTTCGGTGAGGGTTTTTTTCGGCTGTTCGGGCACAACATTTCTTTTCTGGAGGCAAGCTGAAGTTCGGAGCCGAAGGTCAGTGATTGGTCAACAGTAAAGATTCTTCAATAAAGTCTTTGTCACGACTCGTTTTCATGCAATTTTTTTGATTAAAAAATATACTGCACCAAACATCTTATATAATAATGATAATATTATGCCATTTAGCAGACGCTTTTATCCAAAGCGACTTACAGTCATGCGTGCATATTTTTTTAGGTATGTGTGGTCCCGGGGATCAAACCCACTACCCTGGCATTACAAGTGCCATGCTCTACCAATTGAGCTACAGAGGACCACAATGTAAAATTACGCTTTCTTCAGATCTCTTCAGCAAAAACATTTAAATAAATTACAGATTTCTTTGGTTACACTACATGACCAAAAGTATGTGGATACCTGCTCGTCGAACATCAAATTCCAAAATCATGGGCATTAATATGGAGTTGGTCCCCCTTTTGCTGCTAGAACAGCATCAACGCTTCTGGGAAGGCATTCCACTAGATGTTGGAAAATTGCTGCATGGACTTGCTTCCATTCAGCCACAAGAGCATTAGTGAGGTCGGGCACTGATGTTGGGCGATTAGGCCAGGCTAGCAGACGGCGTTCCAATTCATCCCAAAGGTGTTCGATGGGGTTGAGGTCAGGGTTCTGTGCAGGCCAGTCAAGTTCTTCCACACCGATCTCGACAAACCATTTCTGTATGGACATCGCATTGTGCACGGGGGGGATTGTCATGCTGAAACAGGAAAGGGCCTTCCCCAAACTGTTGCCACAAAGTTGGAAGCACAGAATTGTCTAGAATGTCATTGTATGCTGTAGCGTTAAGATTTCCCTTCACTGGAACTAAGGGGCCTAGCCAGAACCACGAAAAACAGCCCCAGAACATTATTCCTCCTTCACCAAACTGTACAGTTGGCACTAGGCAT